CAAAGTGTTTTTTCATTTTATCAAAGGCTCTCTAAACATTTTCTGACATTTCTTTAGACAATTGATACTACTTTTGAGCAAAATTCGGGGCCCCATAACTTTTTAAGGAGAACCATTTTGCAGTTTTAATTCCCATTTTCGTAGACAGCATTCAAAACTCTATCGATTTATCTGGATCTGAATTCAAAGTTCCAAGATAAGTAGACTACCCCTCCCTGGTTAGTGTGGATTGCGCGATAACTACCAAGGGGACTGGGGGGCAATGAAATCTACTTTTACAAACCTCCACCCCGTTTTTTACCTCGCAACATAGCACATTAACTTTCTGTAAAAAAACAATATTCATGAAAGGATAAACATCCCATAAAGTGATGATCTCGTATGCATTCCCAAGTTTTCCCGAGCATGACATATGGGCCATGAGCTGAAATCTCACGAGGTGTTAAGGACTCAATGACCAACAAAAAGTGTTTCACTGGGATCGGAGGGTCTTCTACGTTCTTTGAATCAATCACCGCCCGACCAATGGACCGATCCAGCAGGTAACTGATTTACATAGTAAAGAACACCCTGCTAGGTAACTAATTACAGCACACTAGGTAACCCATTTACATTGTAAAGAACGCCCCGTTTAGCAGTCCGACGCTTTAAGATTGTGATAATGCGATAATATAAAAACCGACCGCTAATAGAAAGACCAGTAAAGAGAAGGAAAGTTCAGGAATAGTAATTAACTGGCTTCAATGGTTACGGTGATATGCTCAAACTTGAATGTGTTACTTACTGTTAACGCCTGAGAAATTTCGATCGTTATCGATCAACAAATTCCAATCAATGGAATTGCAATGTATGCGGGAGGTGATTGTGGCTTCGGTTTTTTCGCCAGCACAGCATCCAGATTAATGGGGCTTACATTAGAGGCGGTGAGGCGAGATTTTCGGCATCGATCGATATCAATGGGTAGATCACAACGATGTGGGCGCCTTTCCAGCAGTTACGAGAATACTAAATTTCGTTGATTTAGTCGTGAAGCGGTAAATAAAGCACTCTGAGCATGTGCTTGAAAAAATCACACTCTCCACAAGAGCGATATCATTTCGATGAGTACTGTAATTATGATAAAGTTGTAGCCAAACTGGTAAGTTGATAGGAGCTAGTCCTGAGTTAGTCCAACCTAGAGGATGCGAAATATGCTGGAGTAGACCCAGGAAGAGAAATACCATAAGAGCTTACTTTTCATACCATTCGAACATAACAGTAAACTGTGTCAACCCATTTTGATTACTATTGCACTTGAATACTGATGCCGAATTGCTTCTAATTATGAGATGTCCTTTTAAGGCAACCTAAAAATACGAGCAAAAGTAAAGACGTGAAAGATGCTGACAAGAAAAAGGTAGGTGTAAAGTCGTACACTCAAAAGATGCGTATCGATTGCTGAGGTAGGTTATTTCAGAAAGATGCAGCAGCTCCGAAGAAAAACGAGAAGCAGGCAGCTCCAAAAGCGGTACTGTTTCGATACTTCTTCAACGCAATTTATTTTCATATTTAAGAATACTACCCACGCTCTCGCACATTTTCCGTAACCATAGCCATTTTCACTGCGGACTCCTTCCCCAGAATGCCTCAGGAGACAAACCGTCACGAATAGACCGAACAGTAGGTTCCTAACAGGACAAAAAAAGGCAAAGAACTTCATAAATGGAAGCAGCGTGAAATTGATACATACACACATACATACATATAAACACCCATTACGACACACCCTACACTCTACACACACGAGGAACGACACACATACATCGTACACACATCCAAAGCGATGGAGACACTTGGGTCGGTATTTATTTGGCAGTATAATAATATAAGTATCACCTGTATCACCTGTACTCCCGTTGATCGTCGATTTCCTCGAGCGGGCGCCAGTAACGTCTCCATTCGTCCCTGTCGCGAGCCAGAGTAATCCAGTGAATCGCACTCGCTCGAGGGACACGGGGCAATACATTCCTTTCGTTCAGAGCTTTCGTGAAGACGTCTGACCATCTCGTTGGCGGCCGTCCTGGTGTTCGCTTGACGTCCCGAGGGATCCAGTCCGTAACCGCCCTGGTCCAACGGTCATCATTATATCGCATAACGTGATATACCCACCTGATCTTCGATCTCTTGGCGTAATCAACGGCATCCCTGATCTTCGTTCGTCGACGGAGCTCGGAACTCCGGATTCCCTTCTGCACTTGCGTGTATAGGGAAATTCCGAGCATCGTCCTTTCCACAGCGCGTTGAATGACGCTAACTGCATGCTCATCCTGCTTTCGTAGAGTCCAAGTCTCTGAGGCGTATGTCAAAGCAGGAAGTACCGCAGTGTCGAAAAGGTGAGCGCGGAGCCAGATGTTCTTCGTTTTCTTCACTACTCCCTCGATGTTCTTAAATGCTCCCCACGCCGCGCGTTTCCGTCTGCTCAGCTCCGGAGCTAGGTCGTTCATCATGTTGACTTCTCGACCTAGATACACATAGCTGGAGCATTCAGAGATATTCGTTCCGTTCAGCATTAAAGGAGCATCAGGTACCAATCCGTTTCGCATGAACATCGTCTTCGTTAAGTTCAGTCTCAAGCCGATCTTTCCACAAGCGTTGTCAAATTCGGCCGGCATTTGTTCCGCCTACTCGATGTTGAGTGTTATAAGCACGATGTCATCTGCAAAGCGGAGATGATGTAAGTAGCGGCCATCGACCTTCACTCCCNCAGCTCTCCTGGCGCAATCGTGAAGATGTTCGACAAGCCGGTCGTATTCTTCATCGATGTTGTCGTTTACGGAATCTTCCCATAAACCCGCCAATGAAGCGAAGTGATCCCAATTGACCACAGTCTTGGGGCTTCGTTTCCTGAACTTCGCAGCTCTCTCTCCACGCACTGAAAAGCGGAATCTAGCGCGGAGGAGACGATGGTCTGATCCCGTGTAGAACTTCGGAACAACAGCGACGTCAGTCAGGCAAAACTTCCGATTGGCGATGATGTGGTCTATTTCATTATGGAACTGTCCACCAGGTGACTCCCATGTCCATCTTAAATGAGAGGGCTTCTGGAACTGCGAGTTACCATGGATGGTGTGGGTCGTCATGATAAACTCGGACAGCCTTTCACCCTGCTCATTCCATTCCAATCCATGAGTCCCGATATGAAGCTCTTCAGCCGTTCTTCTGGGGCCAATCTTGGCGTTGAAATCACCGACGATGACCTTGAAGAAAGTGTGGTCTTCTCTGTAGAGCCTCTCCAGATCCATATAGAACGCTTCCAACTCCTCTTCTTCGTAGCTCGATGTTGGTGCGTAAGCAACGAAGATGGTTAGAGCTGGGATGAGCCACATCTTCTTAATCGCAAACGTCCGATTCGGGTTGTTAAGCTTTCGTACGAATCGATGTTCATGGCCAAGTGCGTGTTGACGAGGACACCTACACCGCCGACGCCTCTGCTGTCGCATGTTCCAAGGAACAGTTCTTCTCCAGTTTCAAATACAGCGTGCAGCGGGTTCAGGGGAATGAGGCCCATTTCTGTTACTGTTCTTGGCATGGAATCCACGTGTAACTTGCCAGGCTCTAGCACGTAGGGGGCTTACTCTTAGCCGTGTGGACATGCGGACGTGCCGATGATTTATATACATATATATTTTTTATAAATATAATTGAATGGACAGTGAAAGCTCCAAGCAAAGTTACCATCGAACAGTAGAAAAATGCTGGCGAGAGCTTTCGGACCATACAAGCCGACATCTGATGTTAAAGACGAGAGCATGTGGCAGGGCAACAGGTTGCCTCCCTTTTGGTAGGAAGATATTACCCCGAGCGAGTCCTTGTCCTTAGTCCAGAACGCAGTGATTTAGACGTAATGTACCGGGGCTTGCCGTGTGCAACTTAACGCGTGAAGAACGAATTCAACCGCGACCTCGGGCGAACGGATAAGGGGGACTCAAGCAAGGGGGCCGCCATCCCTCCAGTTCATCGGCAACTACCTAACCACAGCTTCGAACGCGAAGCGGCAAGTCGGTCAATATAAAGCCTCGCATAACTGGAAATTACCGGAACTTGCATTGGAGCAAATGATGAAATAGTAAAAAATTTTCAGAACCCGGTTTTTTTTTTAAACAAGAGTGGTAAAGCGGACACGCCCACACGCCCCACGTTCACACACCCACCGCGTTGAGGTGGTAGGCCAGCGGGTGGATAATATAAGTATGTTATAAAAAAAGCAGTATAGAGTAACAGTGTGGTTTCAATAGCATTTACTCGTAATGGCTCTAACACTGCTGCTTTCTCGTCAATTCCCTGTCAGCAATGGACAGCTGTAGGCTCCATGAGAAGAGGTACCGGATGGAACTGGTGAAGTATACTTTGGGTAAGCAGTGGTCTCAAAGTCGCTCGAGAGTGAAATTATCCACAAACTAACTTATAAATTAGCAAAATTTTCGAAATTGCTGTGTACAACATTGACACCAAAGAACGCCAAATTCTTTCCTGATTGCCAAAACTCTGCCCTTCAAGTGGACTTAAATATTGCCGGTGTGAACATCATGCCCAAATTGACAAGCCGGTTGGTAAAATACCCCAGTCATAACAGCCACGTTTAAAGCCAGGGATACAGCTCGGTATGAAATGAAGCGAAACCTTTGTTATCAACGATACTCCATAACCTTGTAAGGAAAACCTACCGGACGCCAGTACGAGGATGCTGAACGGCAGCAAGTACCAACTCATAAAAGGTATCAGTTCGCTGAAAATAGAAATACCAGGAAGGTTTCGGACGACCTAAAACGAAATTTCAGGGACACTGATGTAAGAGCTCCGCTCACCTGAAATTATAGGAGCAGCTATTTGAATGTTATAGGCCGGTACCTGGAAGGATAGGGGTCTACGGGACAGGAAATAATGAACTTCAACAAAGCCGTGACTACAAATGCGGACTTTGCCATGGGCTAGACCATTCTAGGGAGAATATGAAAAGTGGACTGTACAGTTTTTCTAAATTCCAGAAGCAAAATCGAGCACATGCGGCTGGCAATGACCCAGCAGACCCAAATAAAAAGCAGCCATCTGACGCGGAAAAGAATATACAGCAAAAGATCGTGCCATTACCTAAGATCGTTGAAAAACCGTCAGCAGGTAATTCATAATGGTGGAATTACTTAGTCGTGTGTAATACATCGATCAGTTTTCAGAAAAGACCAAGAAGAGCGCAAAGAACAGTAAACGAAAACGAAATAAAAAAGGTAAATGAGGAGGAAAGAAAAAATTGCAGCGGATTTTATTAACATTACAGTGGTTACGCTTGAAACAACACAATTGATGATAAAGGTTACGTCTAAATATCTTCAACAACGAAATTTTCAAACTTTGGTATTACAAAAGCTAAAGGAGTTCCGGTACATCACATGATTCATGTTAGCCGTAGAATATCGGAAGATAGCTGAAAGTGGCTCTTAACACTTACCTTTTCTCCACGGACCACTCGACCAAAACCCTTCTCTGAAGCAGCGACAGGAGTTCCTGAGCTCATAAAAAGCAACAGAAGCATATGCGCTCGCACAAGACTACTTAAAAGTATACTCTACAGTCTGTAAATGTATTTATAGTAGGTATATGTACATAGACTTGAAAAAAAAACAAAAACAAAACTATTCCTCTCAGAACATTCAATCATCAGATATCGTCAAATCAAATCCGAAATTATGCAACAACTTTCCAAAACAGTTAAACTCAAATTGTTCGCAAATAAAGCTCATGTCTCGCAAAAAGAGATTTCATGGTTCAATCACAGGGCCAGCTTGATGCAAGTTGTTCTTTTCGCGATGTAACCGCCATTTCCTTGCGAGGTTATAACTACCAAAGCAGTCTCGATCAATCAATATCATTTATCAAACCAAAACGAAATCGAAACCGAATTGGAAAGAGCTGAGACAAGATGCCACCAGCCCTGTGGAATGAATAACGCATCACCAGCTTCCACAACTCCATCCCAACATCGCACCTTCGCAAAGTTCGGATACTTCTCCAAATCTGGGTTCAACACATCGACCTGAACATTTTTAGTTGTTGACATGATTTGAACTATATTTACTGAAATTCTTTCAACAAGCTTGCCTGGCTAGTGTTGGTGATAATACCGTCTTTGAAGGCATACACATTCTCCGAATCCGATGGTGGAACAAGGCGGAAAAACTTGCGACCCATAATCTTAAAAGGAGCAGCTATCACCTGAAGAACTATCAAGTGAAAAGCAAGGAAATCTAGTGAAAAGCTGACCTGACAAAAAATATTTTGTCGTGGATCGGTATGAAGAGGCGATACCGTGCCTCCTGGCCCGATCCAACCATTTTTGTCCACGTTTTCGAACTGAAAGTGTTACTAATTGCCAGTTCGCTGTACCACTCTTAGTGACAACTGAGTGTAACAGCCGATAAGGAAGGATCTTCCACTCACCTCGCAATGATCACAATACAGTGGAAGAGAAAAGTCATCGCAAAGTTGAGGTATTTGATCAAAAAGTCTGTGCTGAGCGAGGTAAAGAGGCCTGTCCTGGAAATGTATACCAGCCACATCAACCCCTATGAGTAGAGTAGAGAGCGACAAGCAGAGCTAAGGTTTGTTGTAAAAATGGTAAGACGTTCGAACATCTGCTATTCTTCTGACAAGGAAGAATACCAAAACAATCGATTTGCACCCTGTTCATTTACCCTTTCCTTACCTTGTCTTCACGGAGTGTACAGAAGAATTCTGATCCGGTCATGAGTCCCTGGGACCAATCGTTGTCCGTGTATTTGGAACCTTGCTCAATCGGAACGATGCGATGACAAAGGATTCGGTGAAGATAATCGAAACTGTAACACAAAGAAGTTTAAATGAGTTCATAGGTTCCGAAATTTTATGAAAAATCGGAAGCAACAAAGACATACCTCCAATTTTTGCATGCTGGCCAGTGGCTGTTTAGACCTTTCACGATGACGGGTTCGGCTCGACTGAGAAATTGATCGACGAAATCCCACTTTGATAGTTCTTCAAACGTCTTAATTGGGGTGGAATTGGGCAGGCTTTTCGGTATTGACAGAGTTATCTAAAACCTTCTGCTATTTTGTGAGCTGAAGATCTTTCAAGGGGAGTCCTGAGATTGGAAAACTCGTACATCATCTCCTACAAATCTATTCGACGGAGCTGGAAGAAGACTGTCACAATATTGAGCGTATCTTTGCAGAAGCTGGTTCGGAATGCCATCTCCCATAAGCAAGCCAAGGTCAGCGGCAGCAACTGCACTCTGAAAAAAGGATTTCTGGAAATCTGCCAAAGCGTAGAATACAGTGTAGAATGGAAACAGCATTAAAAAGTAGATTTCGACCATTGAAGTGCGATTCACATAGGGGTGGTTTAGCATTATCTATTTCAACAGCTCAACTTCCATTTTAGAGATGATAATAGAGAATAAGATATGAAACGAAAGAACATGGTGGATGGGGAATCGAGAAGTTACACAAGACACCCATCCATACGTTTCTGAAATCACCAACCAAATACTGTCCAGCTGAGGCTAGCCGAACAGCTTTCACCATTGAAGTGGCAGCATACAACAGTCTCCAGCATTGATCCACTTCAGAAAAATGCCCTAGAACCCTTCGCATTAAAAAGAAGTCACTCCAAATATCTCATCTACCAGTATTGAGTCGGTCCCAAGCAAAGTCGAGCAAAAATGCCTCGTTTTGAAGGTCAGAGCTTGATGGAGAATGGACTGCGACGTCTTCTTGGCCACGCTGTACCGCAATGCTGAGCTGCACGAAAATGGTAATTATTGATTCGCCAAGTTTCCTCGCATCCATCAGATGCTGTAGCCAAGCCAGTGGAACGAACTTGAATGTCTGCAAATGGCCGAATGACTTCTCTCTGATAAAGAGTCAATTGAGAAAAAATCATCTTGAAAAAACCTATTAACTTCAAAAACCTGAGAAAATAACCCCTGAGCCCTTTAAAATTGCTTGTTTTTCTGCAAACACAATAACTTAGCTTACACCAACACGAAATGATTCCTTCACCGTTTAACCCAACCCTGATGGTGAAATAAAGAGGTTAGCATGGATGTGGTGCATATCCTTAAGAACTATGCATAACTTCCCGCAACAGTCCACACCAGAAAAGAAATTGCCTTTTTTGGCCCTAAGATATCAAAAACAATACGACCCCGGTCCAACATTTGTTCCCGATTTTAACCATTGAAAGTATCTATCAAGAATATGAAAACCAAAATACCGTGATCTTGTTGAAAAGTATCGAGACATCGTCGAAGCCACTGTCTGAGCTGGATACATCGGAGGAAACTCTAAACCTATAACGTAAATCAAAAAGAAAAGTCGCGCAGCGCCCACATATGGTCTTAACTTATTATAAATTCACTGTCTGAATGGAGACAGACTGCTGCCCTTTTACTCGATTATAGAGAGAAAAAAAAAGCTGAAAGCTCCAGAGTCCGTCAAAAAGCAAAAAAGCATTTCTGGATACCTGAGTTCCCCTTCAACCTATTACCGCTCCATTAGTAGTGTCATACCTTTTCAACAACGAATAAGTAGGGGGAAACACCAGCCGATAGCAATCATCACCCAGACAAGACGTTTTCAAAAACCTAAAAGAGGCCGAGCCTTAGCCAAAACAACAAAGGCATAAGACGACGTAAAGCAGAATCTGTTGAAGCTTGCCCAAGATTTTCAAGATGCACAACGTTCTTCATTTTCGAATCTATCATCACAACAGAATCTGGGAAACGCTTCCGTGAAATCTTCAGAGCCATGTTAACCAGAGCGATCGGTGCAATCGATTCCTCATCAGCCTCCAATAACACACTGATGAAAAACTAGAGGAAAACCTTAAAATTTCTGCTGACCTTCGCCTTTATGAAAAGTTCAAGTTTTAAAAATATTTTGTCCTGCGCTAAACCACAAAATCCTGCCGGCGTTTCTGCAATCAATGAAAATTAGTGACTTAGCAGACCTAATATCTCTAGGATTTTCTAAGTAGAGGGCGCTAACGCGCACCCCTTTGAGCACAGCAATGGACGGGAGGGTTTCGAAGTTTTGAAGTTGATTCAACTGTTTTTAACTACAGCATTTAGAGCTTCAAATATAAACTTGTTGTTTTTATCCTGTCTTGATTTCTGCCAAACCTCTGTGGTCAAACGAGAACCCAAACCAATTACTTTTAGAAGGTTGCGGCTACCAAAATCCGACTTAACCTATTTCATCAGTATGATTGGATAGAAAACTTTCTGATTTTCAACCATATTTGCTACTAATCAAAATTACGAGTGCGACACTCCTAAGGGGGAGTGGAGAAATGATTGGGAGATTGGGATTCTCTCCCGTTCCCTGACGAAGGCTAACCTTAACACCTCAAAACACGGAAATGCGAGAGAGGACTACAATGATAGGGAGTGTTGCGGCCCTAATGAGGAAGCCGGAGTAACGAGACCCCTTCTCGCGACCTTTGCCCGAACCTGCTCACATTGCCCCAATTGCACTTCTGTTTATCGCCTGTATCGTTCTCTAGTTTTCCAAGCCCCACAAGCTGTCCCTCCAATTAGCGAAGAGATTTTGGCTCTGAATGGTCGTGGCGATGAATAGTTACAACAGAAACGAACCGGATTTGTCTACAGCAACAAGGATCACAGAAGGCGTTGACGAACCCTAAACACGTGCTAGGAAATAAACAACAATAATATGTACGGCGCACAAAAAAAAAACAAGCTGACCTCTCCACAATGCCTCTGATATTCTTCGAATGAAGATGAACCTGGTTTTACCTCTTGAACCAATAACGATTTCTTCTTCAACATCTTAACCAAAAATTTCATCAAATTCTAGGTTTTTGCATGGGTTACTAGAGACCCAGCTTGACCTTAGCACTGTTTGTAAGAATATTCACTCATTCTGTTTCCTTCGCCTACTCTCTGGTTTACATTCGCTTTACAGTTTCGCATATGTCAACTCATTACCAACCATCTACAACCCATATAACAAACTGAGGTGTCAAACTGAGGTGTTAATTTGAAGAGCGAAAAATTCTTGTCTTACTCGCCTTTTATATGCTCTTATCAGTTGTTATCGCTGACAATCACCGGAAATCTTTCATCCCAATCACGCCTAACAAGCGCGCAGAATTTGGTTCCAATGAACTATAATTAACAGGATGAGCCTTATTCATTGATTCATTTTGCCATGTAACGGCTCCTATCAACCGTTATCGGTTCCTCCTACCACTTACTATATCCGCATATCTAGCGAATCATATGCAAAAAGAGCGGCTAATTTTCTACTGATAACGTATGATAATAAGACTGGGTAAGATCATGCAATCATATTTAAGAATAGTTCACAGTAGCATCAAACCATTGTATGGCCTAACCAGCTGGTAGTACAGCCTGTTCGCCTCTCGTGCACTTATCGCTTAACCCATAAACGACTAAATAAGCAGACCGAGCGAAACAGTTCAGGTTAGTTGAACAAAAAAAAAATCAAGTGGTTCTTTGGATACAACAACAAAATATGTTCAGGATACGAAAAGCAAGAATATGGGAAAGCAACAAAATAATGGCAAAAAACCCTCGAAGAAAAAAGGCTACGATGATGTGCAGATCAGTGACCTGGACGAAGACGACGACAAAAAAGACAAGTAATAATTGATTCACAATATGTACTACGGTAATGAGTGCGAATTGCCCCAAATACCGTTCAAAAATGCTAAATAATGGATCTTTGGGGCAATGTTTGAGGCATATCATGTCCTTGTCGTTGAGACAAGGGTTTCAATGTGAATCATGTAATAGGCGAAAAAGGTGATGTAGGGGTATCCGAACCGAGGACCAAGCGGAAATTATCTTGCTCGCTTGGTCCTCGGTTAGAGTCCCAGATCAGGTCCCGCCCAAGAAACCCATGTCTGCTATCCTTCCCGGGTCACTGATTGGTGCCAGACTCGTTTGGGAGTATAAAAGCACTGACTTGTACATCGGCTGGCCACCGCGAGTCATTGTATAGGCACGCCTGCATTCAACCATCCCACTACGATTCTGAGTAGAGTCGAATGTGGGAGTGCTCCTCAAAACATTATTGATCGACGCCTGCTAAGAGGCAGCTTAACCCTAACGCTTAGTTGACCCTGAACAGATCAAAATCTTCAAGTTACAGGGGCAGATCGTGAAATCCACATGATAAATAACGAAACTCTCGAGCTTCGCAAAAGGAAGAATGCAGCATGCAGTTGTAATCGGAACGAACAGAATATGAGAAGAATAACGTCCGGAAACATCCGGTGGTACATGGTCACTACAACCACCGCTTAACATTCTCCCCAGGACTACAATGAGAGCCTCATTCCCTTCTTGAGAGGAATTCGATCTCGAATGGGAGGAAGTTGGCAATGAACCATGGGACGCCAAAGGGTAAAACCCTGTTTTGAAGACTGGATAATGCAATGACTTCAAAACACCTATCAACTAGCGTTCCAAAAACGAAAGCGTTGTTCACAGCGAATATCGTAATCATGCAAACACTTTTGGATGTTTTTTAGGCAAAACAAGGAGAAAAAGAAAGACGTGAAGGATGGTGACAAGAAAAGGGTATGAGAAATAGTAAAAATATGCATACAGATTGTTGACAATAATTGTCGATTACTTCAGGCCGAAGCGGGAGCAACAGAGAAGAAAAAGGAGGAGCCGAAATTTCCAAAGGAGGTACACTATAACTACGACCAAGCCCACATACCTCAGACAGCACTTGTGTTAATGGTACACAGCCATTCCACCTGAAGCACGTTCTGACAGCGCCTGTGTAAATTGGGACGCACCTTTTTAGCATCCATCCTTTAGCGAACCGAGTAGGTGCGTGGTGACCACAGGTAAAACCATTTGTAAATAGATTAAGGTTCGTGGGAAAGGCTGTGATGGCTATACTTTTTAGGCAAATTGTTTAAAACGTTTCTAAGCACCATTATGGGCGTGCGAAGTCGGCTACCTTACCTTCTCTGCGCTCTAGCGCTCAATGTTGGAAAAGGGCGTCATCCCCTCCACCAACCACAATTCCATCGCAGATTTTATGTCTGTGGGCGAACACTGGCATATGTTCTTATGACTATTATGAAGGGGTGGTGATACTGACGAATAGCCGTTACAAAGCTGTGAAATCGAAGTGAACAGAAAGACAAACACGCTCCCTTGCCTGCCTCTGACTTTCGGCTAACCCTTCGACATCGAGTAAAATAGCAACAAGGGATAAACCGGTGAAAATGTAGTTGGGGGGTGCCAGTGCCCTTTTGTGCTCTGCGTCTCTTCATTTCTTAACCCATCTAATCATCTCACACATCCCGGAGCTCCTCTCCTTCTAGAAGTTAGGGAAGGAGCTCCGGGATGGGTGATCCAATTGGATGTTCAATTCTTTCCCCTTCCCAGCTTTTCACACGAAATAATCATCTCTCCCACCCCGGAGCTTCTCCCCTAACTTTTAGAAGGGAAGGAATCCATCTCTGCGACCTGCATGCACTCTGTCGCCTGTGTCAGGGACGCAGAGCACAAAAGGGCGCTGGCACCCCCCCAACTACATTTTCACCGGATAAACCTGTGGCAGATGTGTGCTGCTGTGATAGATGCAGAAAATATAGAAATCGATTACTCCCGTAGAGCAGTATTAGGAAAGGAAATGAGAGTTAGAAAAGAGCGATAACTTCGTATTCAAGCACACTAGTTGTCCCCGAAACCCGACAAGTATAGGCTAAACCCTTTTAAAATAGTAGCTGCAGTTCTTTTTCCATTACCTGC